CGCCGAACGGGCGGGCGCTCACCTTTCCTGCGGCCCTTCCGGAGGAGGAACAGGAGGAGAAGAGCAGCCGCAAGGAGCAGGCAGGCCAGCCACGCCAGTGCCCAGCGCCGGTGGACATCTGCGAGACCCGAGGAGGAAGACAAGGGCTAGAACGCTTGCATTTCGCCCCGTTTCGCAGAGGAGAAACGCCAAGGCTCAGGGACAGGAGTGATTTGCCTCACGTCTGCAGCACGGAGACCGTGAACACGCATGACGTGGGATAAGTGACTTTGGCCTGGTTTTCACATCTGTAAAAGTGAGGTAACCCGGCTATCTACGGGAAGTCCCGAACACAATACTGAGAGGCGGGGGTCAATCGCCAGCTGGTACAATTGTTCTCTAAGCCTGAGGCTAGGGGGCCTTGACCTTGCTCCTTCTGAGGGCTGCAATAGCGTCTGAACTGGTGTAACTGCTCCTTTTTTCCCTCCAGTCTATTTACAATTCTGGTAGCTGCAAAGATCTTAAAATGAAAGTTTTTTTATAACCTTTCAGGAAGCTACTGGTCTAAACAAGGCCTGCCCGCCCAAGACCCTTGAGGGAGTCAGTGCATATGGACTCCGCCGAATTTCTCCAAAAAAATATCCCACAGCCTGCACCAAAAGGCACCTCTGTGGCAGGGCATGCTGGCACATGCCCCTAATTTCAGCTCACAGGAGGCTGGGGTGGGGGGTCACAAGCTCAAAGCCAGTTTAGGCAACTTAATGAGACCCTGTTTTTTCAAAAAGGGCTGGGGGTGCAGCTCAGTGATGGAGCACCTGCTTCGTGTGCAAGAGGCCCAGCATTTGATCCCCAGAAACATCAAAATGGAAAAAAAAAAAAAAAAAAAAAAAAAAACGCATCTCTGCTTCCCTCACCTATCTTGGCCTTCCGAGTACACATCGCATCCACCTGTCAGGCCCTCTTGATACATACACCTTTACAGCACCGGACACCTCAGAGTGCTGCAAGAGGTCACATTATTGCTAGCCCATGCTAAGTAACTGCTTAATCTGGCTTATGTGCTTTTTTTTTTTTTTTTTTTTCTGTACCAGGGATCGAACCCCAGTCCTTGCACTTGCTAAGCAGGCGCCGGAACCACTGAGCTAAATCCCTGGCCCTGACTTATGTGCTTTTAGTCTTCTACTGGTAGGGCAGCATTCTGTCTTTTCTGTGTTCCTGAGGTGCCAGCAAGCTCTCGTGTGTTTTGAATAAATAAAGGAATGACCCTCTGAGTCACTGGAGCCCAAGCTATTGCATTTGTGCCCTCCATGCCCCCAGGAACAGTACTGTCAAGATTCCCCCTCCTATACACAGAGGATGGGCAGTTTTCATAATACTCACACTTGTCCGTGGGACAGGCCCACAGTGCTCCCAGGTCACCACTCCACAACTGTAAGACAAACATGCCCCAGGTTCCCAGCTTGTTCAACACTCACCAGTTTCTGAGCCAGCTAAGCTCCAGATTCTTAGCCCCAGCTACGAATATCTCCCACACCACAGGAGGTTACTACAAGCTGCTCTGCCTTTGATTAAGTCATGTCTACTGCCTAGGGGCCAACTTCTGTGCCCACAACTGGCAGAGACTTAACTCAGTGGAAGAGCACAGGCTTAGCAATACGCCAGGTCCTGGATTCAAACTCTGACCCCAGAAGCAAACAAACCTGGCTCACAAGAAGAGATCTTTCTTTTTGTGATTTTGTTTTAAATTTGTTTTTGTTCTTTGAGATGGGGTCTCTCTGTGTGGTTCAGGATGGCTTGAACTCCCTGTGTGACCCAGGATGAACTTGAACTAGCAGTGACACCCTGCCTCAGCATCTCGAGGCTGGAATTGCATGCTTCCTTCCTTGAAGCTCTCTCTGGAATGACTTAGCACCTATGAACATGGTTATCTGTGTAGCGATCTAACCAGCAGTGAGCTGGATGTGAAGCATATATAGTAAGTAGATAGTGCTAGTTTTAGGCATATTGTTCTTGGCAGTGGGGCAGGATCCTCCCCCGAGTCACGCACCTTCAGACACTGGCCTGACTGTAGGTCTTCCAGCAACTGCTCTCCAAGGTGAGCTGTCCTCTGCCAAGCCAAGGGATTGCAGGCTGTCACCTGGGGGAGCACCCCGAGGAGACTGCCAGACTGCAGCTGGGAAGTGGGAGAAGGGCTGGAAGACCTAAGTGGCTACTGAACAGGGCCCAGCTCTGAGTCACACATGCACACATGATCCCCAGAGACCAGCACAGAGCCCAGCACACAGTAGGGGAAGTGGATGGAGTGAAAATGAGAGGCCAGGTTTGAGATGGAGCTGGCGAGGTCTGTGGGAGAAGGTCCCCTGGCCCTCACCGCAGTGGCCCTGCTAGGCAGGGGAATACAGCCAGTGGGTTCCAAGGCACACAGTGATCTGTTGTCATGGGAGCCCTGGGTCTCCACCAGTAGCACATCATCTTTGAGGGGGCCCAGGGAGTCTGGGAAGAGTGAGAGGGCACTCTGAGCATGACCCAGCCTTGCTGGGAGCTGCCACAGCCCCTCCTGTGCCCTGACTTTCATCCCCCAAGCCAGCCCTCCAGGCACACCCGGGCCACGCAGAGGCCCCACTCACCAGACCACAAGCACTCCTGCAGCTGTACCTTCTCCCAGCTGCGCACCTGTCCAGAAGTGGGCAGAGTTAGGGGCATGAGAAAAAGCAAGAGCTATACTTGAAAGGCCAGAAATGAAGGGGCAGGCAAGGGCTGAGAATTTAGCTCAGTGGTGCTGCGTCTGCCTGTCTGCCTCGAAAGCATGAAGTCTCAGGTTCAATCCCTGGTACCAAAAAAGGCGGGGCGGGGGCGCAGGCAAGAGGAAGCCTGTCAGGTAGGAATCTGCACTCTGGACCCCAGTTTAAGCAGACCTGTCCCAGGGCTGCATAATGAGAAGCCACTCCATCTTCCTCTGCTCGAGGCGTGAGTTTCTCTGTGCTTGCAGGTGTTCTGAGGTCTTAAAGCACTCAGCATTCCCTTCTCATCAGCCACCTTCCTGAAGAGACTGCACTTCAAGTTGCAGCCGCAGTCTTCCCTTGCCCCTCCACCTTTCCCATGGTGCTGTATACAACGGAAGTGGACTCTATTCTGCTTACTACGGAATATTGTTTGCCACTATCCATTAGAACATCAGTTCTCTGAAGACAGAGACATTTGTTTACCTAGAGGTTACAGTGCCTAAGGCAGTGCCCGGCAGAGTAGATGCTCAATTAATCTTGAGCATTATTTTATAATAATCCTTTGATGTTAGCAAGCTGTTCTACGGGTGGGAAAACAGGATCCTGATAGCAATGATGGGAGCAGCTAACACTTGCAGTGTTTAGTCTGTAGTGCGGGTACTGTAGGCAGGCACGTCTCTCCTTCCTCTTCACAGCCTCTGCCGGGAGCATCTATTACCATCCACTTAAGACACCCACGGAGCCCAATGCGACTTGCTCTGGTCCTGTAACTGCTAAAAGCAGTGGAACTCTCAAGAGGTTGATGCTAAGCACTATGCCCTCGGGCCAAAGAATCAGGGATGCAAAGCTGTGACTTGTGTGGGGTGTCCACCCCGGCCCAATGCCCCGAAGCACCTTTCTGACCTGAACACAGAGGTTAGGATGACCTTCCAGCACGGGAAACTCACTGGCCTTCTGTGGAAAGCAGGGAGTGGGTAAGGACAGACAGAGGCACCCTGCGCACCCTTCCTCTCCCGCTCTGGGTGCTGACCTCCACATCACTTACATTCACGGTGACATTCTCCAGGGACAGGGGTGGCACCAGGGGCTGGCAGGGGTCCCTGCCCGGCAACTGCCAGCACAGCATCACCTCCGCGGGCAGCGAGCAGGGCGCATCCAGCCGCCAGCTCTTTGAGGACAGCAGCCGCAGCCGGGCTGCACGCCACACGTTCCTGTGTGCACGAGGGTCTGCAGCAGACACAGGATCACACGCAGTGGCCACTGCCCACCCACATAATCCCCAGCTGCTCTCCGGCCATCTGCTCACCTTCCTTGAAGGGGCAGATGCTGGTCCTGACTGGGTCGGGCTCCAGGGGCCACACCTGGAAAGAAGAAAGGGCTCGACAGTTCAGCACAGCCAACTCCCCTTCACGAGCAAGCGCCAGCCCTCCAATAGGCACGTGGACATGTTGCATTGAGTTCAGTGCTCTGGCTTGCAGTCTCCTGGCTCTTTACAAAGCTCAGCTGCAAAAATGTATTCTTTCAGCAAACACAATGCCCAGCACAGGCAACGTCCTCAGTGGGCTTTTAATGAGAGTTTGCTGTGCCTTAGTAGCACAGGGCACCACAATGGGGTTCAGTGATGGGTGACACTTCATCCATAATCGCTTTATGAGAGTGTCATCTGTGTAGGTGCCAAGGATACACTCATTTATTCTTTCAACAAACTCTGTATGTCCGTGTGTGTGTGTGTGTGTGTTACTAGGGATTGAACCCAGGGCCTTCACACTGAGCTACATCAACAGCCCTTTAAAAAGTTTTCCCTTTAGTTACTAAATTACCCAAGCTGGGCTCATATACCACCACACCTAGCTCAACTGACTTCCTTTTTGGTGCAGGGGATCGAAATCAGGTCCTTGGACCTGCGAGGCAGGTGGCAGGACCACTGAGCTAAATCCCCGGCACCTCAACAGACTTTTTAAGGCTATCTGTTCCTAGCATGTGTGAAGCTGAGGCAGGAGAACCGCAAGTTCAAGTCCAGCCTGGGCAACTCAGTCACTTAATGAGACCCTATGTCAAAATTTAAAAAAAAAAAAAAAAAAGGTCCGGGACAACGCTTTTTTTTTGACCACTGAGCTAAATCCCCGGCACCTCAACAGACTTTTTAAGGCTATCTGTTCCTAGCATGTGTGAAGCTGAGGCAGGAGAACCGCAAGTTCAAGTCCAGCCTGGGCAACTCAGTCACTTAATGAGACCCTATGTCAAAATTTAAAAAAAAAAAAAAAGAGGTCCCGGGAGACATAGCTCAGTATGAAGACCCTGGGTTCAATCCTCAGTGCAGAGCAGGAAGAGAAGGATGGGGAGGTGGAGGGGGGAAAGGGGGAGAAGTCAAGGAAGTGTACGTAGACAAGGGAGGATGGAAGAAGAGTACACGGAGAAGTGCAAGTGCGAGGGGCAGCTAGGGGGAGGCCGCTGACTGGGGGAAGCTCTGGGGAAGAGACAGCTATGAGCTGGGAGGGCCTGGTGTCCGGAAAAGGGGTGAGGACATTTCAGGCAGCGGGAATTGCCTGAGCAGAACTGTCCGAGGCACAGTGCTGGGTGTGCCTTGATAGGCAGCTCCCTCTGGTGCGACAGAGCCCCAGTAAAGGGGCATCTTGGGGGAAAGATAGTGGGCGAGGTTCCGCTGAGGATATGCCAGAGAAGCCACGGGAAGGGAGGTGGGCCAGAGGTTACTGAAAAGAAGAAAGGAGAGGTAGCATGACAGAGGCCCAAGCTGGCCTGAGAGGGGAAGGAAGGAGAATGAGGGCCACTCAGAAGTCGAGGACTGGGATCTGATGGCCAATTAGATGTGCAGAGGGAGAGGAAAGAGCAACGGTTTTAAGCCTGCAGGTAGCAAGCACACTTCCTCACAGCAGCCCTGTGAGACAGAGCATCCTATTCCCAGTTTACAGATAGGAAATAAGCTCAGAGAGGTAGTGACCATCCCGCAAATGGCCAGAGCAAAAGCAATGCCGACGAGCCTGGCCCACAGCACCGGCTCTGACCTCCACCACAGCACATCAGGGGCTGTGAAGCAGAAGTGGGACTCTGTGGGTGGGAGGGTGACAAGAGCGCTCAGGGTTCGGGGCAGGCAGAAAGTACAAGGAGAGCAAGGGACGCCAGCTGCCCAGGGAGCCGCCCCTTGCCACCTCCCCAGTCCTCCCCGCCCCCGGCTTCCAGCTGTGCTCTGCTCCTACCTGAATACAGAGGCAAGGAACCAGGTCTGTGTGGTTCAAGGTAATGGTCTGTGGCCCAGTCTGTGGGACAAGCAGAGGAAGAAGTTGAAGATAAAGAAGAGGAAGCAGGGGAGGCCAAGGAATCAGGCAAGCGGAAGCCCCCACGGAGATTCCCTTGCTCTGGGTGTGAGCACTGCAAGGGTCCCCTTCAATCAGGTACTCACACCCCTAGAAGGGCATCAGCCTAGAGTGGAAATGGATCTGGGAACGGAAGGGAGAAGCCTCACCAGGTTTCTGTGCCACCAGGGTTTTAAGGGACCCTGGACCTGACTCCAGTACAGTAAGAGGCCAAAACGCTGCTCCTCAGAGACGTTGAGTACCAGGAGCACATTGTCACCGTCTGCAGACACGCTGAGCCAGGGCAGGACTGGTGGGAGGCACAAAGAGGGGACAGCTTACATCCCACCTCTTTGCACACCCACACCTGGGCTGTACTCACAGACTGGTCCTCTGGAGTCTTGTTCATACCCTTAGATGAGGAGCCCTCAGGGGCAGAGGCTGTGTCCCCATCTCAGACAAGACTGTCCTAGCCACTGAGGTTGAAGTACTTGGTGATGCGATAGCTCTTCTCCCTGGTCTTCCTCAGAAGGCAGAGCTTAGTAAACAAATCACTCTCTAAGTTCTCAAACCCTCTCATCCTGCCCCCCAGTCACCCCAGTAGAAGGTACTGTCCTTACAGAAGCTTGCAAGGCCTTACCAATCTAGCACTGTGATCGCTCTGACTTCCTCTCTTAGCACCCTTGATTACTTAGTAATTAGTGCCCTTACTCTGCTGCAGTCGCACTGGCCTTCTTGCTGCTCCTTGACCACCATGTCACAGTTCTGCCCCAGGATCTTTGTGATGACTCTTTTCTCCACAGGGAACCCTTCTTAATACTGGCACGGCCCCTCCCTCACCTCCTCCAGTAAGTGAGGCCATCCCACTGCTGTAGTGCCCAACCTTGTCATCCCCCTTCCTTAGATTTTCTCCATCTCTCTAATCACCATCCAGTTTATTGTGTGCGTCACATCCCCACGTATTTATCATCTCCTCCCTCAGCCTAACCCCAACCCTGATTCCTAGCTCCGTAAGGACAAGGAGTCTTGCCAGTGCTGTTTAATGATTTAGTTCAGTGCTAGAGCAATGCCTGGTGCAGCGTAACTGCTCAGTACACATCTGTTGAATAAGTAGAGCAATGTCTACTGAATGAAGGAAGAAATGAATATATAAGAATATCTATGTTTTCAAAGCTCTGGTGCCGAGCAGTCCCTACCCCACCCCACCCCTGGCAGTGGAGATGGAACCCAGGGCCTTTGTGTTGAGCTATATTCCCAATCCGTTTTAATCTTTTTTTTTGAGACTGAGTCTTGCTAAGTTGCCCAAACTGAGCTCAAATTTGTGATCCTTCTGCCTCAGCCTCCCCATGCTAGGATTACAGGCTTGTACCACCATGCCTGGCTCTGAGGAGCATTTAGTGGGATGACAAAGAGGCAGCCCAAATCTAAGTTTAAAAGATCAAAGAGAAAATGAGTTGAAATAATCTAATAGTTTTTTAAAAAATCAGTATTTGTATCTTGATATTAGTGATGCATGTATATATGTATGTGAGAACTGAACCAGACATGAAGATCAGTGCACTCATGTACTTTCTGCCTATATGTTATACATAGAATAAATAAAAAACAAAAGTAACATCCGAAGTAAAATAGGAGAGAAAACAGAACCTTGACTTTCTTAGCCCTTAGTTCAGGTTTAATTTTATTTTGACATATGGAAAGGGGCATCACAATGCTGAGAATGCTTTGGGCCTCTATATGTCCTTGGTATAAATAAATATTTGTTATAAATTAAAGATTCCTTTATTTCCAGTGCCTGGCACAGAATAGCAGCTACTGCACTTCATGTATTATGAACAAGTGGACAAATGAATGAATGGATGTGCTATGGAGCTTCCAGGGTGTGGCAGCCCCGATCGAAGCTAATTCTGCCCTAACCCTAACCCTCACTTTAGATGTGCGCTCCCTCCCCCGCAGCCCACTGGCCCTAGCCCCTACCCCAGCAGCTCTGGATGCTGTCCCGGACTTCGAGCCCCCTGCAGTCTGGGGAGAGATCACAGAAATGCCTCCAGTGGGCTTGGGCCCCAGAGAAAGAAGGGGAACAATCTGACACATGGGGGTGCTGGGAAGGCTCCTTGTCTCCTAGAGGCCACCCAAATCTATTCAGTGCCCCAAACACCAAGGGCTGGGAAGGCCATGTCACCTGGGGAGAGAGGCCCAAGGGACTGACTCAGAAGGAAGCCAGCTCAGGCCCCTGCCTAAGTGGGCAGGATAGAAATAAGTTGAAAGCAGGAGGGGAATGGGCATGGGGGCAGAGCCTGTGGAGGCCACACCTGGGATCCCTGAGGCTCTGGGGCACTTACCAGGCAGCTGCTGCATGAGGTTGAGTTCCTTCTGGTACCTAGGCTGAGTGTAGGACCAGATTCGAATCTCAGCCCCCAGAGCAGCCTCAAAGCAGTCAAACTCTAGAGAGCCCTGTAAGGAGAGAGGGGGGCTCCAGCATGGACCACTCTGCTAACTCCCCTTCCCCCAACCAACGACTGTGTATATTGGATAGCCTGTAATCTACACTGTTAGATGCCCTCCCCACCAGAGCGCCCCACCAGAGGGCCCCAGGTCCGCAGCAAACTTTCTCTGTAAGGGGCCCTGCAGGGCAGGCACAGTCAATCCTTAGCTGTCTGGGTCCTTGCCCCAACCCTGCTGTTTGGGGTGCCCTGGCCAAGGCTGACTGATGGTCTCATCATGAATGCAGGGGCCCCTCCCCGTAGAAGTAGTCCCCATCCCAGAGCCTCAGTGGTCCTCGGGACTGCCTTGGGAGGTGGCCAAGCAGTTCTCCCACAGGCCAGTTTGCTACTCAGAGCACAGGTGGGGCTGGAGGGGATATCAAAGCCAGGACTTTCAACTACACAGGCCTCCCTGTACTGAGGTCTGAGCTGTGGGATTTGTCTTCTTAGTCAGAGAGCCCCCCAAACCATCCCTCTAAGCCTCAGTTTCTCTATCTAGAAATGGAGGACAATAATAATGTACCATCTATGGGGGTCACTTTCAGGATTACAAAAGAAAGAAGAAACTAAGTTTACTGAGGCCCTTCAGTGATAGCCATTTCATAGAACTCCTTTTTTTTTTGGTGGTACTTGGGATTCAACCCAGGGGTGTTATACCGCGGAGCTCCACCCCAGCTCTTCTTAGTTTTTATTCTGAGATCAGATCTTGCTAAAATTACCCAGGCTGGCCTAGAATTTCAATTATTTTGTTTTATCCTCCAGAGTAGATGAGATCATGGGCATATGGTAAATGGGTTGGCAGGCATGTGCCAGCAAGCCTGGAATTTTTTTTTCCTCAGCACCTTTCATTGAAGTATAACCCTCAGTGACAATCTGGCAGGCATATCTGTGTCAGCCAAGAAACGAGTGGCGGAGAACCCAAATACAGATACAATAAAATTTGGAAAAATAATAGCTTTACATGGGATAGATGATTTCCACAGTTATACAGCAAATACTGGTTATTTTTCTATACAAACTGCCCCTCTCACAGCACCTCTTAAAGATCTACTGATCTTCAAATAATACTATATGCTGTTATAGAAGTACTATACCATTGGCATAGAAAACTCCTGGCAAAGGCAGTGGGAGCTGCCAGAGCTCTAGATGGGTGGGGTGGCCACAAAAATGTGCCCCCCAGGGGCTGCTGCTGTCAGGGCAACACCATCAGGGAGGCTGGGGTTGGCTTTTTTTTTTTCAATACGGGGATCAAACTCAGGACCTTGTGCTTGCGAGGTGGGCACCGTGCCACTGAGCTAAACCCCCAGTACGGGGGTTGGCTTTTTTAAGTAGTCAAAAATATGTAACAGACATTTCATAAAGGAAGTTATACAAATAATTAATAAGCATGTGAAAAGGTGCCCGAGTTCATCAGTCATGAAGAATGTACAAATCGGAATCACAACATCAGACAGGGTTTAGCTCAGGGGTAGAGCACTTGCTAGGCAGGCAGGAGACAAAAAACAAATCCACATGGAGACATACCGCTCCATACATAGTGGAATGGCTAACTTTAAAATTATAACAACAAGGGCCAGGGATTTATCTTAGTGGTTCTGCTGCCTGCCTCAAAAGTGCAAGGTCCTGAGTTTGATCCCTGGCACCAAATAAATAAATAAATAAATATTTAAAAATCATAATAAGTTTTGGCAAAGATGGGAAGCAACTAAAACTCCAATGCTCTGCTAGTAGGAACATAAAATTGTAGAAAAACATCCTTGAAAAAGACTGATAGTTTCTCACAAAGTCAAACATATAAAGGAGAACTAATTCTTAGTACCATTTTACAGACAGAAAAACTAAGGAACAAAGGGCTGAAAGGTCTTGCCTGCTGCTATGATTAGAACCAGAATTTAAAGAGATAACACATGTGAAAGTGATGTATAAACCTCATATCTAGAAGTTGGTGAGTATTTTTTTCACATACCACAGATTGACCAGGCTGCACCTGGGCAACAGGCACTTGCACCTGCAGCAGGACACAGCGGGCAGTGGAATAGGCCTGGAAGGACAGCACGACTTGGGCCTGGAGAGAGGCTGGGAGCACAGGCAGGGGTCAGACCCAGCAGCCGTGGGCAGCCCTGGTGCAGAGCAGTTGGGCTGCTGGCTCCTCTCACCATTCCTGGGTTCTTTGAGCTCCAGCTCAGCTGTTCCCCCAGACTTTTCCTCACCTTCAGGCTCTTCCCAGTGCCCTAAAAGGACCAGAGAGTGAGACCCAGGTCAGGCCCTGCTCTGGGCTGGCTTAGAGCTTGGCTTTCTTCCAGAAAGCCCAGTGTTGGGAAGCAGGGCCCAGCCTGCAGATACTGACTGGCCTGTGGGTCTCTTGGCCAGTGTCCTCGACTGAGGGTGCCCCATGCTGCCTGACAGACTCCCCAGTCATCACACCCACCCCTGACACACTGCTGTGTGCACACACACAGTCACAGGATGACTCACTCACCATGCACGGCCAGGTGGACAGTCACACGCACACAGAGATCACAGCTGGTCTCCTGGCGGCACCGCAGCACCAGCTCCGTCTGCAGGTGTGTGGGCACCAGCACGGGGCCTGTTGCGGACTCGATGCTCCCAAGCAGACAGAGCATGTCACTGTCTGTGGATGGATGAAAGGCGGGGTGGGAGCTGAAGCTGTTCAGAACCCAGTTTGGTTGCAACTGGTACCCCAGACAACCAAGGAGCCTGGCTTTTCCTGAGCTGCAGAGGTGGGCAGGTGGGTGTGGGGCTAGGATGACTCCGCTCCCCTCACCAACCTGGAAGTTCTCTTTTCTGTGAAAGTAGTGATACCTACCCCAAAGGTGGCAGGAGAGGCCCTGGGAAGGAGGAAACGATAGTCAATTTAAGCCAAGTTTAAGCACCTTCCTCTACCCAGGACGTCTGCCTATCCCTTGCTGAGATTGGCTATTCCAAGCTCCTCCCACAGCAGACAGGATCAGCTCCCACCCCTTCCCCTGTTTTATCCTTCCCCAACACCAGACAGACCAGCCAGGGCAGTTCGGGTGATGACAGAAGTGAAGAAACCAAACTGGGGCTCCGAAGGGCCCATTCCGAGCCTTCGTCCTCCCCACCCCTCCCAAAGCCCAGACTCACTGGAGAGCAGCGGGCAGCATCCTGAGGTCCCACAATCCTCTCCAGAGAGATGACCACGGGGTTTCGGCCCAGGGCCAAAGACAGCAGGAACCAGGGCACAGGCATCTTCCAAGTGCCAGGCAGCACCCAGGCCTGAGGCCCTGTCCTGCCCCCCCCAGTGGGGGGGACAGACGCCTCCCGCCTGCCCTCACTTAACTCTGGGTCTGCGGGTGGCGGTGGCTGGAATTCCTCCCCGGCCTTCAGGGTCCCTGCGTTCGTTGGAGAGCTCAGCACTCCCACTCCCAAATCCCTGAATGCCCGTCCAGTTCCAGCCGAGTGCTTTCGGTTTGGCTCCCAGCAGGCAGCCGGCTGTTCCTGCCCCGCCCTGCCCCTCCCACCAATCCAGGCCTGGGAGCCAGCAGCCGGGGACTGGGGTGGTGTCTTCTCCCCACTGCTGACACCTGGCTGGGAGGGGCCCTGGGGAAGGTAGCGCAACATCAAGGCTCTGGAAGGGAGCTGAGTCCCAAAAGAGAAGGTGTCCCTCTGAGCTGCTCCAGGGCCTGGGCAATCCAGAGATTTCCACTTCCCATGTGACGTTTACACATGGGCCCACCCAGTGCTTGCTCAGTGTACACCGAGGGTCCCTTCAGACATTTTCCTGGCCTCGATAAGCCTTTGTGGGACAGGAACTTTAAAAGCAGGGCCAAAGGGCACCAGCAAGTGAGCTTTTCGCCACTGCCTGGCCTAGACTCAAGTGTGGTGTGGGGGAAGAACCCAGGACCCAGAGCCAGGCAGACAAGTTCCATTATGTGCAGCTGCCACTGCTCAGTGAATGAGGATGGATTCCCTGCCTGGCTGAGCCTGTTTTCTCTCTCTCACTTTGGAATAATCATTCAGGATCAAGGAGGCCTCCTTTGCCTTTCCCAGGCACTTTGTGGGCGAGCAAAGGACACGGGGCAGAAGCACACGTGGAGGATTTAGGCTCACAACCTGATACAAACAGCGCCCAGGCAGGCCCACGCACTCCCCCCACACGAGCGCAGTGTGGGACACACCAGAGAAGCACACTGTGTTCCTTCACTTATCCACCATGCTTGCCTTTATTGGTCCTCTTGGATCTCTGTGTCGTCGTCACACACACACACACACACACACACACACACACACACACACACTCCGCCTTTGTCCAGGCCACCAGAAGCCGAAGCTTCTTTCCTCAAGTCAACCTTCCCCTTTCTCCCTACGGGCCAGGAACGGGTCTGGGAAAGCAGAACCCTGGCCTCCAAAGAGGTTTTCCGCCCAACCCCTATCCAGCCCCTTTCTGGACTGACCCAGCTGCTGCCTTCCCAAACCTTCTCTCCTCTCTCCCCACATCTCTCTCTTTCTCTGTCCTGGGATTCCTGGAGGCAGGGAGGTATGAGTGAGCTATACACCAAGGCTTAGTTAGGATAGGCCTCCCAAGCTGGGAAGCAGACCAGAAGGCTTTTCAGCCAGCAGTCCTCAGAGGCGTGTCTGGGATTCAGGATAGAGGGTTCAAGGCGGGCTCCAGCCAGCGCCCGGCTGGGCTCGTAAACATCCGGGACAGAAGTGGAACTCTGCAGGGCCTCAGCCGGCAAGTTGGGCGGCCTCGAGTTCCAGCTGGCGGCACAGCTCCAGGCTGCTCCGCAAGCCCCGCGGAGCCCTG